AAATTATTATATCTGCTTTTTCTGTTTAGGGAGAAGACACTGTCTTGGAGAACAGCTGGCTCGGATGGAAATGTTCTTGTTTTTTACAGCATTGCTTCAACGATTTCATTTGCATTTTCCACATGAACTAGTTCCAAATCTAAAGCCTAGGTTAGGCATGACATTGCAGCCCCAACCCTACCTTATCTGTGCTGAAAGACGCTGAAAGTACGCTGACATTTGGGAGAACAAGAATGTACGTTTACCTGACCCCTGAGCCTTGTTTAATTAGTGTGTGTGTTTGGATAAAAGTCACAGCATCGTAAAGCGAAATGAACACAGATGTATCTTTAAAAACAGTGCTAGGGTAGTAAGAAGCACTAGCTATGATTGTTTTTCAAGCTTGCATAACTTCTAAGATAGAATCCCTGTTGAGGAATACAAAGATATGAATGACATATGTTGCTTAGGATGCTTAGAAGGGCCATGAATGCCCTAAGCAGAGCCTCTTGTTTAGTGCCAGGTACCTCTCATCACTTCTTAACTCTGTCTGGCTTCTGTCCTGGGGAGCTTTGATTCCAGATGCCAGTTCCCTTCTGATTAGGTATTATCATTAATAGCTTGTGTGGTATTAGTCCAGTTTAATAGAGAACTAAAGAAGAAATTAAAACCCAAATTAATGAGTATGGACTGCAGAGGTATTTTAGATATGGTGGCAGATTATAGGAGAAATATGTATTTAATTTTGAGCCTGCTAGTAGTTTCAGATCTTGCTCCCTGCTGTGGCTTCATAAGAACTGTGTCATTTTTATGAAGGTCTGTGTGACCTCTGAGCATCCAACGTTATAGCAGTAATTCGGTAGTTAGGAAATTACGATAATGTATGTATAATAAAAATGGCACCTGGCTATTGATTCTTTGTAGGCACAGACATTTTCCTTGGTACCATTTCTTTCTAAAAAACCAGTCACAGAGATTAATGACTGAATCTTCTTATGTTTTATAGGTCTCTAGGCATTTCCATCAGTTAGTGTTATTTTTCTGAAGATAATTATATTCAAATCCAAAAACATGCTTTAGAAACAAAGCAACTGTATAAATTGGGATACTTGAGCATGATGGGGTGCTATTAATAAATGTACCAGGACAGGACAGTTGCCATGGCTCACTTGTGTAATCCTAGCACATTAGGAGGCTAAGGTGGGAGGATTGCTTGAGGCCAGGAGTTTGAGACCAGCTTGAACAACATAATGAGTCCCTGTCTCTATAAAAAATATAAAAAATTAGCCAGGCATGGTGGCATGCACCTGTAAATATGCAGGAAGTTGAGATGGGAGGATCATTTGTGCCCAGGAGTTCGAGGTTACAGTGAGCTATGATCATGCCACTGTACTCCAGCCTGAGCAACAGCAAGACCCTGTCTCAGAAAAATAATAATTATACCAGGACAATAAGGGTAAATTGTGATTGCTCTAAACAAACTGGAATGTATGTTCACCCATTTATAGCTATTTTTACATTATCATTCTAAAGTTGAACATTAAGGGTTCATGCTCTTGTAACTTGGCTCATGAATAGTTGCAGCCTCAAAGTAAGTGCATATAACAATGACTTCTGTTAAGAAAATGGATTTAACCATAGTTTGGCCTTATCTCTTGAATATTTTCCAAGTTTCTGTGTTTTAAATTAGGAGTCTTTGCATCTTTGATACATGAAAATATTTCCAGTTGCCAAGTAAAGAAAATCCTGTGCAAGTTTACTTAATAAAAGGTGAATTTGGGGCCGGGTGTGGTGGCTCACGCCT